GGTATAAATATCTATTGAGGGAAGATTGTGTAAGATCACAGATAAATAGTATAAATCCTGATGCAGCCACCAAAATAACAAATTTGTAACTAATCAGTTAAGAATAAAATGGAATAAAAAATACTCAATACAAAAGAAGCAGAACAGGAAGAAAAAAACAAGGAACAAACAGAAAATAGTAAAGTGGTAGTTTTAAAATAAGCCATATTAGTAACAACACTAAATGTGAATGGTCTTAAAAAAGTGTTTTTAAGATGGGGGTGGGGGGATGAAGGAAGAAATTTCCAACTTTATGCTGCCTACAAGAAACATACTTTAAATATAGAAAAAAGTTAAAAATAAAAGGATGAAAAAGATATACTCTACTCAAAATGAAGCAGAGATAGCTGTATCAATATCAGAGAAGGGAGATTTTAAAGCAATGAGTATTATCAGATTAATAAAGGCAGTGTTAAAAAATATTATTGGGGGTAAATATGATCACTGAAAAACAAACAAAAAAATGCAACAGAGGATACAGTAATCCTTAACATTTAAGTACTAATAATAAAACATCAAGATAGATTAAATCAAAAACTGGTAAAACTGCAAAGAGAAATTGATAAATACTGTTAAGTATAAGTAGAAATTTTAATGCTCTCTTCAGCTGATAAAACAATATAGACCAAAAGTCCATTAAGGACAGAAAACACTTGAACAACACTATCAAAAAACATGATCTAAATGACATTTATAGAACAGCACCCAATAACAGAATACAACGTCTTATCAAGGGTACCTAAAACATTTAACAAGATACACTGTATCTGGACCATAAAACAAATCTCCTATTTAGAAAGATTCATGTCTGACAAAATATGTTCTCTGGCCAGAATGGAATTAAAATAGTAAAAGAAAGATATACAGAAAACTCCAAATATCATTAAATTACATACGTCCTAATAACTCATGGGTCAAAGAAATAAAATGAAAGATTAGAAAGTTTTTGAACTGAATGAAAATGTGCATGTCAAAATTTGAGGGATGCCATAAAAGCAGTACATATGAGGGAAATACACAGCACAAAACCCCTATACATGAAAAGGTATCATGGTAATGACAATAAGTAGAAATAGAAAAACTTAAAAGCAGAAGAAAATAAGTAGGCATCAGTAAAACAAGAAACAGAAAAACAACAGAGAAACCTAAACAAAACCAAAAGCTGATCATTCAGACATTAATAAAATCAATATATCCAGAATGACAAGGAAAAAAATACTGAAGTGTAAAAAGGTAATATTACGAACAACTCTGTGCAAATAAATTTAGCAACTTAGAAGAAATGGGACTAATTCAATGAAGGATACAAATTACCAAAGCTCACCCAAGAAGAAACAGATAACCTGACTAGCCCTGTATTTATTTAATAAAATAAATTAAATACATAGTTTAAAAACACCCCACAAAGAAAACCAACATCAGGCCTAAATGGCTTCACAAATAAGAAAGAAATAATACCATTTGGAATGTTCACCCTAAATAAAATTAGGGACAAGGTAAAGATACCTACTCTCATCACTTTTATTCAACATTACATTAGATGCCATAGCAAGGAAAAGAAAAAAACTGATATCCAGATAGGAAAGGAATTGTCTAAAGACAAGTGGACATAAATTGCCTATATAGAAAATCCAATGGAATATAAAAAAAAATCTATTAGCCCTACTAAGTGAAGTTAGGATGCAAAACACAAGAGCAATATGCAAAACTCATTTATTTCTATACATTAGTACTGAACAACTAGAACTTGAGTATTTTTGAGTTACAATAACATCAAAAGATATGACATACCAAGAATAAATGTAATCAAAAATGTATACAATGAAAACCAAAAACAACGCCTTCAGAAATTAAAAACCTAAGCAAATGGAGAGATAAAACTGTTGTAAGACAACTCAACATTGTTAAGATGTCAATTTTTTCCAAACTATTCTACAGATTCAAGTCAAATCCAATAAAATCCCACAAGACTAATGAAAATACGAAAACATCAGAAGAGTCACAACAACTTTGAGAAAGAACTATGAGGACCAAAACCATCTGGTTTTGAGACTCAACATAAAGAAAGCTACAGTGAGTAAGACTATGTTTGGGGGTTCTAGACATAAAATAGGTCAATGGAAAAGAGTGAAGTACAGAAATACAATTACACATACAGAGAATTAATTTTTGACAAAGCTGCAAAGACAGTTCAAAGAAAAGATAGTTCTTTTCACCAAATGATGCTGGAAACACTGGATGTCCACATCCCAAACCAAAAACTTTTAACCCATATTTTGTACTATAACCAATATATTGACTCAAAATGGAAACAGAGACCCAGAGACCCTGTTAAGCCAAAATACAAAACTGTTATTAGAAAACAAAAATCTTTGTGAATTTTGCTTAGGCCAAAAAAAAAAAAAAAAAAAAAAAAAAGGCCTATATATGACACCAAACACACAATATAGAAAAACCTGGCAAACCGAGTTTGTCAAGAAAAACCATTGCTCTTCAAGACACAACTGAGAAAGAGAAAACAAGTAGAAAAAATATTCACAAACCATGTATTTGACAAAGGATTTGTAACCACAATAAAGACCTCTCGAAACTAAAGAAAAAGAAATAACCCATTAAAAAAAAAGTTTTAAACAGACGTTTCCACCAAAGATAATAGCTGATCAAAAGCAGTTCAACAGCCTAGGATATGAATAAGAAATAAAAACAAAAACCACAATAAGGTATCACTTCCTACCCACTAGAATGTCTATAATCAAAAATACAAGACAATTTAACATGCATTGGAGAAGATGTGGAGGGAATGGAAATCTCATATGCAGCTGATGGCAATATAAAATGGTACAACCACTTTAAAAAAGTTTGCAGTTCTTAATAAGTTAAACATATGCCTACCATATGCTTCAGCCATTCTAATCATAAAGCCTCCCAAAAGAAACAAAAGCATAAATACACAAAAGAACTCTTACAAAAATGTTTACAGCAACTATATTTTAACGGCCTCAAATTGAAAACACACATCCATCAAGAGATGAATGGATAAACAAACTGCTACATAGCTATACAGTGTTAGTATCAGTAAGCAATAAAAAGGCATGGCATACTGATACGCGACAGATAATTTCAAAATAATTACACTGCATGAAATGACCTAGACAAAAAAGGGTACACATATGATCAGTTATTTAAAATTCTAAAAAATGCAAACTAATTTATAGTAACAGAAAGTAGATCAGTGGTTGTTAGAAGGAAGTCAGAAGGGAGGGAAGATGGTACTATTGGAAGTGATGTTCACTATCTTGATTGTTGTGATGGTTTCACAGATGTATACATACACCACAACAATGTGAACTTTAAATATGGGTAGTTTATTTTATGAGTGCTTTTTTCAAAATAGGGAAGATGTGAACCAGAACAAACAGTTTGAATGTTTGGTAATACAGAAATTAATAATTTCAGGAAAAATGCACAAAAATGTTAACACAATTATCTTACCTAAGAAAAAGAAAACTATCAGGGAGAAATCTTTCACTTTAAATTTTTTCTTAAACATGCACATATTTCTTCAAAGAAAATTAAAAATGTTTTTAAAGAAGCTCAGTTACTTATACATAGGCCTCATACCACAACAAAAATTAATCATTATCCTAGAAAATTAGATAAAAGCTTAATTATTCAAACTCTTACACAATGGATTTTTAAAAAAATAATCAGCAATTACTTTCACATCATTTTCTAATGTTTTCCCCTTAAACAATTAATATACAAAACTGATGTAACCAACATATATATCCAAACCTCCTCTTCTAAGTCTCACTTTTTTTCCCCTGCCTTCTCATTCTGGGTCTTCTCTATGAACTCTTTCTCTCTCCTTATTCACTAACTGGACAATTTAGTCTTGTATCACTTATTCTTTTACAAAATTCATAGAGGAAATCTGTTTGAATGGTAAGTACAATTTGCACATTTTGTACTCTTCAGTTATTCCCTATTACATATCCTACAGGTATATAAATTTGGAAAATATCATTACCAAATTTAACTATGCTCTCCCTAAGACAGTGTTTATTTCTCCCCAAATGTGCAAAATATGAACTCAAGAAACAAGCCTAATATTAAAGAATGGACAAGTATCTAGTTCATAATAGTACAGAGGACAGAAAATAATAAAACAGTAATATCTCAAAAAGTATTTTAAATACTATGGATGCAATTTTAAAAATTCAAACAAAATATTCTGAAAAGCCAACATCAGTGGACTAAGCACACTACTTCTCAGGGTAAACAGGCTTGCAAGCAAAAAATTGTTAACATACCATGATGTTAAAACATGGAAAGGCCTAAGCATTACAACTAAAGTTTAAAGGATGAATAATTTTCCTAGCCAAAAAGTGGATGAAGGAGGATTCCAAAAGATCTCTACCACGAGGTCTACTTTCCTATAATAGACAGGCCAACTCTTAACATCTGACTCAAATTTGAAGCTAACTGCCTAACAACTTTCTTCTCTAAGTGTCAGTATAACTCATTTCTAATGTGACTTATTATTGACAAAAAATCTTCATTTTTATAAGATAAAAGGAGAGTTAAAAAAAAAACTTAGATTAACAAAACTGTATGATTTAGGTCAAACCATCAAAATCATTGTTTACCCTCAGAAAACCAGGATATAGATTTTTGTGTTCACCAGAAGTTGTATGTGGAAAGAATTTTTAATTCCTTGAATACCACTCATACTTTCTTTAAAATGTTCTTACAAACTGCCAGTTCCAGAAACACTTAGGGCTATTGTTTATTTACATTATAAGCTATTTATACAGCCAACTTTAGGAATTAAAGGAAACATTTTACATTTGAGTTTTGTTACATTACAGTTTCTACAAGCTAACTGAAATTTGCCATTAATTATAAGAGAAGACCCAACAATTCAGTTTTCATAATGGTTTCAAACAATCTTTTCCTACCTTCACACCAACTGCAACCTCAGTGACAATTCTGAAAAGAAAAAATAAACAGTTTAAACTCATCATTCTTCTAATGATCACTGTTTGACTATAAACTTTTTTAGGGTAGCTCATCGTTCATAAATCTTCCAAACACAACACAGATGGAAAAATACACACAGATGATCGGTGACACTTCCTATTACTATTCCTAACCTGATTTTCTAGAAATAACTTTCAGTGTAAGATGAAATTCAGTAAACTTAATGCTATCTTTTTTAATAACACTCTCAAAAGCAAACAGAAAAACTGAACACTATAAAGCCATTTCTACAACGCTAGTACACTTAGATTTATAATTTAACACTTAAAACTCTGGTAAGCTAGACAGAATCGAAGAATCAAGAAACATGAATTCCAATGCAGTCAAACTCTGTACTGATCTGGAGGGATACAAAACTTCTCTGGAGTTAAGGCACCAAGAAAATAATCTCCAGACAACCTCTAGAATGATTTAAATTTCGTGAATCTGTTAAGTTGTATAAAATTTTCGTTTAATCTTTAAGAAAAAAAAAATCGATGCTTAAGCAAAATAAACTCCCTTTTGACTCTCAAATACTGTCATTAATTTTCATAAACGTGTTTGTTAAGTGGCACTGTTTAATATCCCCCCAGGCGGGCTGACTACTGCTGTATTTTGGCCCTTTCTAATGGTAAGTTACGGGGCTGCTCAGACGTGGAGCGTTAGCACCAGGGACACGGGTCCTTCTCGTTTCCCAGAGCCTGGCCTCACCTGAGCATTCTATCTGCACTTTTAGGCTCTCAAAGATGCAGCGTGGTTCTCGTTTTTGGTAGTTGTTTTGTTTTTCCCGAAACTGGCCAAAGTCGCTAAAAAGACGACCCTCTGTTGACCAACCGCTCTCCTTTCTGCCATGGCCGTTGGCCTCTGCCCATGTGACTGATGGGGACCTCAAAACACTTCGTTTTTCAGATGATTTAATTTCTGGGCCCTCTTGCCAAGCCTTGAACGTTCTCGTGCCCCACAAAAAGGCATTTTCCCTGCTTCCCACCCCCCACCTCCCGGCTCAAATGAAAACAAAGGAGTGTGACACTGCCCTCCCCGCGGCCGCCGCGCGCCCTCCCCCTCCCCGCGGCCCCTCGGCTGCCCCGGCTCCCGCCACCGGCATCTCTGCCCCCGGGGCGGGCCCGGCGGGCCGGGGACGGGCCGGGGGCCGCCGGCGGCGCCTCCCCGCTCCCCCCAGGGACGAGCCCGCCACACGCCCGCCCCTGCCCACCGCGCTCGTCCCCACGGCCGCCGCTACCCGGGGCCGGCGTTCCGGGGTCCGGATGGAAATGGCTCCCCGAGGGGGCAGGGACGCCGAGACTCCGGGGTTCCCGCCCCACCCCCGCCGCCACGCCGGCCCCGGCGCCCCCTCCGCGGGCGTCCCCCCGACACCGCCCCGAGGCCTCCCCGGCCTCCGAGCCCGCTTTCCCCTCATTTTTTCGCCCGGGGCTGGCCGGGGAAGCGAAGGGAGGGGTGTGTGCGATGGGGCGGGGGTTGGGTAACGGCAGCCCAGCCCTGGGAGGGGCCGCCGGAGGGCTCCCGCCGGCTCCCCGGCCGGGCCGAGGGACAGCACGGCTCCCCTCTCACACACACCTCCTCGCCGGCCAGATTACATACCCGTCCATTGCCGAACCGGACAAAGCTTCCCTCACAAGAACCGAGCCACGCAGCCAGCGAGCCACACAAGCGGCGAGAAAATGGCGGCCAGGGCCCGACGGAAATTGCCGAAGGTGGCGAGGCGCACGGGGCAGCGCGCGGCAGCGGCGGCGGCGGAAAGAGCCGAGCGCGCCGGCGCCCGGCAGCCGGAGGCGAGCGGCGGGGCGCGGGGATGAGGGGAAGTGGGCGCCGCCGCCGCCTCCTCCGCGCCGCCGCGCTCCGGCTTCCCTCCGCCCTCGGGGACCCGGCCCGCTGCTGATGCTGCTGCGGCTGCACAGCGTGACGTGCTGGGCTCCCCGCCCTGGGCGTGTGCGTGGGACACCTCCCCCCGGCACGCGGTCGGCCGGGAACCTGGGGACTGCGGGACTGCCCCCAGCAGCCTCCACTCCCCCCGCTTAGCTGACCCTCACCCTGAGTGGGCCAGGAAGAATGGCACAGCTCGCCTAGCTTTCCTCCTAGGCCATCTTTATTCAGGCCCCTGCCAGCCTCAAAACCAAAAATCTTTAACACACTGAACACGGCTTAGTAAAAACTATTTTCTTGAAGCAAGTAGAATTCATCAGACCGAAATGGAGGCTTTTGCATCCAGACCTGTAGTAGTATCACGCCAAGTGGAAAAGAATGTCCTTCTCACCCCAGTGGATGATTGGTGTGCACCTGTAGAAAGCACTCAGATGACCCTAGGTGGGAACCACCCAGGTTGGGCGAAGTGATAAAATGCTACCCATAGTTAGGGGCTAACCTTTGGGGGGTGTGAAAAGGAAAGTGGGGATGGATGTTGAGGCAACTGAGTCTTCATTGATGAGAAAATTAAAATGGGCCGCACAAATTGACTCCCTTTTCTGTAAGGTCTCAGGGTCTCAATTTTAATGTTAACAGCATTCTGGATATTTTCCTTTAACATACTTTTATCAGAGGCTCAACAAAGTTTGAAAAGACACCGTACTCTTGGAAAAGGTGCTCAATGACTGACTGCTTTGTCAGCAACCTTTCTTAAGTAACTTTCACTGTCACACCAAACACGCAAGATGTGTCTAGTCCTGAGAAATGACAAATATTCCCTGTCTCTCTCCGGTTGTTCTCATCACCCACTCTGTGTTCTCTCGGGGTCTCTTTCACACAAACCCCTTACCCTTTACTAATCGGAATTTCACTATACTCAAGGGGAGTGTCTGTATAATTTTTAAAATAATAATGCTTTGAATTGGGCAGAACCTTGAAGCGCATCTTGGCCAAATACGTTGGAATAGAAGTCTTCAAAGTCCCCAAATGTTTACAGATTCTTGATTTGCCTCGGGGATTGTTAATCCTTTAAAGGAATTCATATCAAACTTCCTACAGTGCCTCTCCTTAACTTTTCACCATTAACTTACATACAGAATTGTTTTCGGTGCCATTAATAATCACTTTTCACATATATGCGATTTCTTTTCTTTTTCTTTTTTTTTTTTTTTTTCGAGACAGGAGCTTACTCTTTTTCGGGGGCTAGACTAATCATCACAGGTCATATTAAACTCAAACTCCTAGGCTCAAGCCTTCCTCTCACATCAGTACCCAAAGTGCTAGGATTACAGGTGTGAGCCACCATGCTGGGCCTGTGCATGCATTTTCACTTAACAAATATCCAAACTACCAAAGAGCATTAATTCTCCTTATTCCTCACATTCACTTAATCAATACTGATTGATTGGTTTTCATTTTATCTTGGCAGAAGCAAACTGTTCCCTGAGAGGGGAGGCCTGTCCTTCAGTGGCAGAAGACATTATAGTGTTCACAAAAACACAGTTTATTTTTTTTTTCTCCTAATAAAGTATAAGACTACAAACATACAATTGTTAATCTGCTTGTTTATTTAAGCCAATACTTCCTAGAAAAGATGTAAGAGAGTTTGCAGGTAAGGCATATAAAGTATTAGGTTAAAAAATGAAATAAGAATAAAACGAGGACACAGCATAGGATGAATCAGGAGTGAGGCTAATGCTACAGTGTACTCACAAAAACACATTGACTTAGGTTTGGGTTGGTGTTTGAGCTCTTTCATTTAATAGCTGTGTGACGTTAGGTATATTCATTAGCCTTTCCAGGAAAAAAGTTTCTTTACTGAAAATAGGGTTAAAAATAGGGCCTTCATCCTGGATGGTTCTGAGGTCTGAATGCTTTAATGTACCCAAAGCATCTCCCTAGCTCAGTAACTGGGTATCCGTAAATACTTAAGAAAAGGTGCTATCACCCTCCTCATTATTTTTGTAATTACTACTATTATTCGCCTCGAGAAAAACCAGACCACAATTTGGCTCTTTCAAGAATCATATAAATAAATCCATGCGCAGATTTTCACAAAGGTTAAACATGTCACTAAAATAATTATTTTGGCTGGTATCTAGAGGAATAAATCTGGGGAGATGTCACAGATAAATTTCCAAAACCTCATCCAAATCTAAATGTATACAATTTTATGAGTTAACCATGGGGTAGATTATTAATCTCAACAATAGCAGATAGCTACCCTTTGTAATATATGACAAGATTGTATTAGTGCTCATGGATTCTGAACAAAATAAGGCATAAAAAGTGAAGTGCTTGTACAATATTGTTTTCATACCCATATTTTTTTGCAGTATAATGATTTGTTTTTTCCCATCTGAACAGTAAGTGTTTTGACTTTCTATAGAAGTATTCACTTATGTGAATAATGATTGAATCTAAATTTCAATGGTATGCTAAGCAATAATGAAGTCAAATATTTATGCGATAAAAATAAAATCTCATTCATAACATTTTTAGCCTTACCTCTTACCTGTTTATAGCATCAAAGACACCATTTAACTTTTTCATGCTGCGGTTTCTTCTTATGAGAGAAGGATAATAGGATCAATTAGATAATATTTTATTATGGAATAGGTGATAAAATTCAAAGTGGAAAAGATTTACAAAGTATAAAAACATATACAACCCATCTAGAAAAGGCTTTATCATAGTTGCCTTTTGGGGGACAGGGAGTGGGACTGGGCAATAGTTTATTTTAAGGATGAACTTGATTGTGGTGATGTTTGTAAATATGTCAGAACTCATTGAATTCATTGAACATTTAATGCCAGGGAATTTCAGAGTATGTAAATTTTATTGCAATAAAGCTGTTACAAAAAGAAAAAGCATACCTTCTACTCTTGCACCCCAGCTACTGAGTTCCATTTTCCAGGGACAACCCATTTTACCAGTAATTACATTAGTCAGAGATATTCTGATGTACATATTGATTATTTACATAGTTTTTCTTTTGATTCAAAAGTGGTAACAGCTGTCCATTCTGTTCTGCAATTTATTTTAACTTAAAAGTATGGATTTTAGATAGCTTTCCTCATCAGTACATTTAGAATCGCCTCATTCTTTATATATGGGTGCATGATAATCCACCGAGTCTGCAAATCATCATTTATTTAATTAGCTCGTAATGATGGACATTTAGGATGCTTACAATTTGCTATTTACTAATAATTCTTCAATCAATATCTTTTTTCTAATCCATTTTCAATGTGTGTGAAAATCTGCTGGATAAACATATAAATAAAATTACTGGATAGAATTTATTTTTAATTTTAAAAGATGCTATCAAATTACTTTCCATAGGGCTTGAGTCTTTGGGTTAAAATATTAGCAATTCCTATAATTTAAAAAAAGGAGGAGTGCTGATTTCTTTAATGTAAAGGAGTTCTTACAAATAAAAAAGTCAAAAGTCAACAACCAAACAGAAATGGATAAAGCATATGAATCAAATACTAACAGATTACAGGAAATGAATGCTCAGCCTTGCTCAGAAGAGATTCTAGGTAAAACTATGCTAAGATATGTTGGTTCACCTGTTAACACCCTCTCTGGCCAATAGAACACAAAGTTTCTGAGTACAGGCTTGGTGCCTATTGTCCAGTGGTTAGGGCACCGGCCACATACACAGAGGCAGGTGGATTTGAACCTGGTCTGGGCAGGCTAAACAACAATGACAACTGCAACAAATAAACAGGTTGTGGTGGTGGGTGCCTATATCCCAGCTACTTGGGAGGCAGTGGCAAGAGAATCGCTTAAGATCAAGAGTTTGATGTTGCTGTGAGCTATGAGGCCATGGCCCTCTTCCAAGGGGGTCAAAGTAAGATTGTCTCAAAAAAAAAAAAAAAAAAAAAAAAAAGAGTTTCTGAGTACAATATTGAGAGAAAAGATTCCTTTCCAAACCATCAATAACATGTGAAAACAGAATAAAGCTATTTCTAGATACACTAAATGTCAAAAATTGGGTCTCCTGTGCATTTTTTTCTTTGGAATCTTCTGGAAGAGATAATTCTAAATACAGGAATACATCAGGAAAGAAGAAGAAACAGGATCCAGGAAACCAGAGCTCCTGCCTAAGGGAGGAAATTGAATGTTGGTGAAAGAAGCCCCACACCAATAGTTACATAGCAGGCCTAAGGTTCCAATGGAATATAAGGCCAGAGGGGCCTAGGAAAGATGTCACCAAGAAAAATATGGAACATACCAAAGAAAACCCCCAAATGCTGGATATATTGAGATGTTTATGGTGTGTTGGGAAGCTTAGGAAAAGAATTAAAAAGGGGGGCTGGCGTTGGGGCTGGGTGGAGGGTGGAGATGGACTTGGGTTGGGGTTCAGAGTGGGTTGGGATTGGTGTTGGATAGAGGGATAGGAATCAGGGTGAGTGCTGCTCTGTGCCACATTCCTCAGAGGTTTTAGAGTCCACACTGGCCATCCATTCCTGCCAGCCATTTCTGAATCTGGACAGCAGATGTTGTGGGAGGGTGCAAGTCCATCCCAAAGTCCATCCTGGCTACTCCCACCCAGGCCACTCCAATGACCGCATGCTCATCAAACTGAACAGAAGAGTCTATGACACTCAAGATGTCAAGCCTGTCAACATCTCCTCCCATTGTTTATCTCCTGGGACCATGTGGTTGGTATCTGGCTGGGGGATGATCAGTAGCCCCACGGGTCCTCCAACACCTTCATTTTACTGTGCTAAGTCAGGACAGGTGGGAGGCGGCCAACCCAGGAAAGATAGCTTACCCCGTGTTCTGTACCAGAGACAAGGCAGGTTGAGACTCTGCCAGATGAGGATTCGAGACTTCTCCCTTTATTCAGGAC